TATTTACTTTCCTCTCTATCAAACTGTCCCCCTTCCCAGGCCCCATAGAAGGGCAACCCTGAGAGGTTGGGGACAGCTTTGCTTAAGTTCCCATGAAGCTGACACCTAGGAAGAGGGACTGGGTCCCTGATTTCCTTGGCATGGGGCCTTCCACGATGAGGAAAATCTCTCTATCAGCATAGGCTAGTAACTTCTTTACTGCTTCTAGTCTAGTCTTGGGATATTGCTTAGAGGAGAGAGAGGCGAAATGCCTTGTACAGGGCAGGGAGAACCCCAAACTTCTGACTCCAGGCCAGTTCTCTCTCCATCAGGTAATGTGCCTCATACAGCAAGTGCCTAATGCTGGCTGAATTGAACTGAATTTATTACAAAAAGTGCAGAATTCTGACAATGGATTTTAAAACTACTTTGAAATAATTCAAACTATACACACTTTATCCCTCCCCAATTTATCCTGGGTATTTCTAGTTGATTCCTAGTTGTTTGCACGTTGTCTCCTCTCTGTAAGAGTGGGAGCCTCCAGAGAGCAGGGACAATTCGTTTCTGCCTTTCTCTGCATCCTTAGCATACTGTTGGCACGTAATAAACGCTTGTGGACAGACTGACCTTCTAGAAGAAGCTCCTAAAAAGAAAATACTTGGGCCACCTTCCTTTATTGTTTACAAAGTGCAAACCTGGTGGCCAAGGAATTCATTGCTTGTTGGTCCAGACAGGGTCAAGCTGGTCTTGTTATCGGGTATACAAAAGGCAGTGACCCTAAAGGTAGTGGTGGGTGGGACTGATCAAGGCCATGCAGGGAAGTGGGCTTCCCTGGGTGTAGAAATGGTACAGTCTGAGGTTGGGGGAATAGTGGGGTCACCCAGGAAGAAGCATAGGGCACTCTGGGGATGGGTGGAGGCATGGAGATTGGCAGCATCCTCATTGAGGGGCCTGGTGCTGTACCCCTCCCCCCTTGCTTGTGGCCTGTCAATTCAGAGTCATCTCCCCTCCCTCCTTCAGCAGAAGCTGAGGAGGCTGAGGGAGCAGTGTGGCCTCACAAGGAGGGGGTGGGGAGGGATAGGTCATTAAATCAGATCACAAAGCCATGAATTCCCTCTGTCTCTCCTCTTCCCCTCCTCTCTCTATCTTCTCTCTCTCTCTCCTTCTCCCTCTCTCCCTCTCCTTTCTCTCTCTTCAGGAGTAGCCATCAGATGGAGCAGTAGCCAGGAGGCTGGCCCGGAAAGGGGAGGGCCTGGCCTGACAACCTGTCATCATGACTGTGGGGCCGGGCAGGGCACAGGATGTCCCCCTCATAGCTTCCAACTGCCATTATAAACAGAGCCAAGAAGCTGGCTGGCTCCCAGGGACTGGACCCCTTGGGGGGCTCTCCCCTGGGGAGCCAGCCAGGCTCCTGGGCCCTGCTCCTGGGCTTCTGCAAGAATGGCCCAGGTAGGAAGGAGACAATGAAGGAGCCAGGCTCAATGGTTTACAACCCTCTATTATGGAAATGTTGGCTAAAGTGAGCCGTAAGCCCTGTCATTACATGTGTATAAACCAATTCTCGGTGGTGTTATTCCTGGGCTAAATGCTCCGACTACATAAATCTTGAATTAATGAGGACTTTATAGTTCCTGAAAATGAACGGTAATTGCTTATCTGTTAATGCTGGAGTTGCTATTAAAAGGAAGTATATATTTTCAGTAACAATGTTTATAGTGCATGGACAGCATATCACAGTAACTGCCAGGGAACAGAATGATGCCTGAAACTGAGGGAAGTCCAACCCTCACGGAGCAGGGCCCCCCAGTCTTCTTACCCTGAACGCATCTAGAATAGGGGTAGTGTGCAGGGGGTGGGAAGTGAGGGGGGGCTGCAGGGGGTTCAGAGTCACCGATCCAACAAATATTTGTCAAATATTTACTATGTTGTAAGGTACGTAATGATGAGGATGGGACTGGACCTGGGATACTGCCAGTCTAGGAAGGAAACTCCCTGTCACCTCAGGCCAGCTCTTTTCCTTCAATGTAGGGCCTTAGAGGGGAGCCTGTCCATTCAGAGGTTAAAGGGCTTTCGTGGGGTCACAGAGCCTCTTATACACGACAGAGCTAAGTCTTGAACACAACCTTCCTGGCTTGAAGGCCAGTTCTCTGTCTACTTTGACACCTTGATTCTCAGGTGCTGGGGACGAAAAGGCCGAACAAAAGCCCCCAAACAACCCTAATAAAAATAGCCCCTCCTATCTGCTGCCTTTTTAGACCTTTCATTAGCTCTGTGAAATCAGAGAGAGAGAAAATCTTTGACCCCCAGAATGGGAAAGATTATAAACCAGGATCTGGAAGAGACAGAAATGGCCTCTACGTGGTCAGGGCCCGCCAGTCTTGGGTGAGCAGAACTGGAAGGGCCCCCGGGCTCGAAGTCACTAGTGACTAGGACCTAGTCCAATATCTTCACTATCAGGGTCCCCAGGGAGAAAGGCGACTTGTCCAAGATAAAACAGGCCAAGTTGCTGGAAGATCTAAGACTAGAACTCAGAACTCCTGACTCAGTCCTGTATGATCTCTGTCCCCATCCACGGAGTGTAGACAAAAAAAGGCACTTGGGGGAAGGACAGAAGAACTCAGGGGGACCGGGGAGACCTAGACCCAGCCCAGGCGTGAGCTAGCATGAAACCAGCCATGGGCCGGGAAATAGGACAGTAAGGAGCTCCAGCCCCGGCCTGAGGGCTGTGTGCTCGGGAGGAGGCTCCTGTGGGCACAGGATGGGGGAAGGCTGTATGACTGGGGCTGCCACCTCATCAAGTGGGGCGTGCAGGGATCAACTCAAAGACCACTGTAAACATCTTCGATTCCAGACTGGGAGCTTGCCAGAGCCCAAGGAGGCCTGCTTCTGCCTGGGGAAGGACTGGGCTTTAAAAAAATGAGTGACAGGCAGGAGGGGATCAACTCCTATGTCCACATGCGTGTACTTAGCCATAGACAGCCAAGGGTGAGTGAGCACGGGCATAGGGATGATGCCAGTGCTCTGGGGATCCCCACAGCTGCACCAAGATCGACGATCTTTACTGAGGGTGCCATGATGAGAAATAATAAGTGACACTGACATTTAATATTCTGTCAACACTTTGCACACACTCGTTTGTCTTGATATCTCTGGGAGGTAGGTACTATGAGTAATGTAAGTCTGATTTTACAGATGAGAAAACTGAGGCTGAGAAAGGTTAGGTGACTGGTCGTTGGGCAACCAGTTAGCAGATGGCGGAGGCATCCTTTCAGCCCAGGTACTTCTCATTTCCAGTCCAGGACTCCCATATCAGAAGCAGAATGGAATGATGGAAAGGACATTGGATTTGGAGCTGGAAGAACCTGGCAAGCCCAGGGAATTGCTGGGCTTGGGATTAGCTGGGAGAAAGAGCTCTCTTAGGCCCCTCTTCTGCCACAGGGCCTGGCAAAGCTAGAGCGTGCAGGTGTGTGTGGCTTGCTCACCTCCCCACCCCCATTCCCCCATGGGGACCGCCCGGCTCAAAGCTGCTTCCTCATAAGGTAACCTCTGATTGTGCACTCGGAAAGCTAATCAATGTAGTTCAGATTTCAATTTCTCCACTACAAGGTGAAGTCAAACCCAATGTAGCAAACGTCAGTCTGGTGGGAACGCTGCTTGACCGGGCGCCGGGGTAATTTAGAATGTCGTTAATGGCGCGTCTGCCCAATGCCGCCACACGTCACTTATAGCTTCATCCAGGGGACTCGCTAGTGGTCTGCCTGGCGCCTGTCAGCACCCACGGCTCTGCTCCCCACCCTGTGATGGATGTCTCTCCCCTCCCCTTACCTGGAAGTGACAGGGGAGATGGGTTTGGTTCAGCAAATGCTATATCCCTTTTCTTCCCCTTTTTTAAGTCTCCTTACTCAAGCTTGATGTCTGCCATGAAGGTGGCATAGATTACATACAACCCGAGTCACGGCTGGCTTACCTTCCCCCACCCCTATGCCCTTTGCATCCTGGCTCCCGGCTTCCCTGGGGATAGGTTTGAGAGAAGCCACACCAAATCAGGGGAGCCCCAGCACTCTAAAGAGTACTCTGAGCAAAAGGTCTGGCACATAGTGATGCTTGGTGAATGCCTGGTGACTGACTGACCTATTTTGCACAGAAGGCTTATGCAGGGAGAGAAGGGAAAACTTCCCCTCTGGGAAAGGGTGGTCTCAGCAGCTCCCTAAGTCACCAATCCTTGGTTGTTCCATCCACCCAGATAATGTCCCAAGGCCATGTTGTCCCTGATCACAGCAGATATTCAAATATATCCTTTCCCACAGACACACACGGTCCACCCTCCCACTTCCTGCCTTCTCTATGTGCACAGAAATTGGCTCTCTCTCAGCCTCATAGAGCATGAGATCAAGCTGTCACTGTGGAAACCCACTCTGCTGCCAACATTCAATGGATCATCCATTCTCTGACACAGAGAAGCCACGTCACCCTCCCCTGGGGATCCTGGAATGTTTCAGAGGTCTCTCGATTATCTGTGGTGAAGGGATTGGGGGTATGGGTGTGGGAGGAGAGTACAAAGAAAAGTGAAGCCCAGAGATTATCCCAAACTAGGGGTGGAGAACCTGAGGCCTCGAGGCCACCTGTGGCCCTCTAGGCACTCAAGTGCAGCCCTTTGACTGAATTCAAATTTCACAGAACTAATCCTTTTATTATTAAAAGGATTTGGGACCCAAACCCTCCTGTTCCTTACTTGTCAGATTCTCCTCGCTTTAGGGGCTTTTGCCAAGGATTCAAGGACCCATCCTGCCCCCTCTCATTCTCATGCCAGAAGAGGGAAGGAAGAGTAACAAAAAGCCAATGTCCCCTGTGAGGACTGAGGGTCAACAATCCCCCAGGAAGGACACCCCTTTGAGTCCGAGGAAGCGGCAGTAACCATCTCTAGCCTTGGGAGTGGGCTGGCAGTCAGCAGGAGAGGGCTGCTGAGAAAGGATGTTTACTTCCATCCATGCAGGGAGGGATGGGAAGAACTCAGATCTTACCTTATCATCAATATCGCTCTCGCTGTCACACTGTGGATGAGAGAAAGAGAGAAAACTTCATGTAAAAAAAAAAAGCCTTTAAAATGAACCTATTAAATCATTTTTTAACATCCTCCCTGTCTCTGGTTAACACCTACCTCAGGGAACACAAAATACACACCTTGATCCTCCTACCCTGCCCTACCCATTGCAGCCTGATTGCTAATGGAAATCTCATGTTCAGGGAGAGAAAAGCAAATTTGTCTTCTTTTGAAATCCCGGAACATGGGAGATGGGGGAACGTGGCGGGGGTGGAGGGTGGCTGAACAAGGCGTTCCAAGACAAGGTTTAATTAGAGGTGGCATTGGCTGTGATTGTCCCTGGTATCACTGAGTAAGCTGTCTGGGAATTAGCAGTGGTACCTTTGTTATGGAACCAGTGGGAACTCCACCTTATTAGGAAGACTACCAGAGCTGCCCCGTGGAAAGTGGGAGAGGTGGGTATAAGGAACCAACCATTCAAATACATGAAGACCCTCAGGTCAGCTGGATGTCAGCACAGGGTCACCTCCACTGAGTGTCTGGAAAGAGGCAGCAATACCCCCACGGGCAAAAGCACCCAGCTCTCACCCAGCTGCTCCAGAGGCTCTCTCTCTGGTGACTGTGTCCCAGGCGTATCTTATGCCCTAAACTCCTCTTCCAGGGCCCCTTCCCCTTATTCTCCTGCGTGTCTCAAGTTAGGCCTGTGTGTGTGTGTGGCCCACTAAAACCACATCAAATAAAACCAGATGCCCACTAAAACCCATCAAATAAAGACCTTATTCACTTTGGATATTTCTTTGGTGCAGGGAACTTCCAGTAAGGAAAATCTCTTTTACTCAAAGCAAAAGACAAATTCTGCAACTAAGGATCTCAGAGAGAGAATTTCTGTTGACTTGCCCTGTCATGCGGCCTTGATTATATCACAGCTGAGACTTGAACCCAGGTTTTCTTTACTGTGAAGCCATTTTGCTAACCACTATACCAGGCTGCCTATTTGACCTATATCTTTTAGCATGAATGGCTGGCTGGCCTTCTTTCTGAAAACCTCAAAGGAGCTGTGAGGGTCTGTGATGGTAGCAGAGGATTAGATGCTACTGGCTGTCCCTGGGTCCTTTTCTGGACAGGATTAACCCTCTATATTTCCTCAATGAGACTTAAGTGCCTCGAGGGCAGAGGCTATTTCATTTTTGTCCCTGCGACTCCAGTACCTCCATGTGGGTCTGACACAACCTCTAACACTCCAACCAACCCAATCGGTGATCAGCTGTTTAGAAGTTTATTCCAACAGCAGAGATCATGCAAACCCCCACCATAGCTGCCCATAGTCATATGCACAAAGCACACCATAAGGTGTGCTGAAAGAGTGAAAGCGTCTCAAAGGAACAGTCCCCAGGTCCTCACATTTCTCTCTGAGACACTAGGCCCACGTTTAGAAGCCAGGCCCTGGGGAAGAACACTCAGGGGTGGTGGAGTGGTGGTTCTGGGCACAGGGCCAAGGGTCAGGGGATGGAGCCATAGGCATGTGGCCGTTGCTCACAGGTCACAGTCCAGGGGGTTGCTCTTATGGAATTTCAGCGACAGAAGGGAAACCAAGAGCATTTAGTCCAACCCACATCTGAACCAAGAATCACCTCTATGATGGTACTCTCCTAAAACAGTCATCCAGCTTTTGTTTAAAGACCTCTGAACAGGGGGAACCCGCTATCTCGAAAGGCAGTCCAGCCTCCTCTGGGACAGTTTAACTGCCATCCAGCCTAACTGCCTGTCTAACATCCTCCAACTGCTCTTGGCTCTGCCCTCTGGGGCCACACAAGAACACGGCTCATCCCTCTTCCCACGGCACTCTTCAGACACTGGCTTGGGCTTGTGCAGTTGAGAGCTTTGGCTGTCCCTCCTTCTTGGCATGTATAACACCCTAAGAACAAATTTGCTTTACAAACACTTTTTTTCTGTCCTTTCAATCAATCCATCAGTAAACATTTATTAAGTGCCTACTATGTACCAGGCACTGTACACAAAAAGTGGCAAAACACAGTCCCTGCCCTCAAGGAGCTTACACTCTAATGGGGGAAGACACGAAGTCAGTCTATCAACCAATTTATTAAGGGCCTATTACATGCCAGGCACTGGCCTAAGTGCTAGGGGATATGCAAAGGAGACTTAACAATCTAATGGAGGAGACAAAATGCAAACAAACACAGCCAAGGCAAGCTATAGACAGAATAAACAGGAAATAATGGAGGGAAGGCACTGGAATGCAGAGGAGTTGAGGAAGGTTTCTGTAGAAAGCAGGACGTTAGTCCCACTCTTGTTGCTGTTGTTTTGTGTCCTTTCTCCAAGAGGACCATGACATCAGGGAGGTCATGCCATGCCATGCCAGTTAATTGGATTTGAGTGAGGGAGGGCTGTGCAAAGTCACCAGCCTCACTTTCTCCTCTGGAGCCATCTGGGTCCAGTGGTGAGATATAGATCAGGATGACTGGAAATGGCCCTGGATGCAGTGGGAGACCTTGGCCTTTTAAATCCCCCCCATTGTAGTGTTAGAAGGCCTTCCTTAAGTGGTGGAGAATGTCTCCCAATAACCCCCTCCCCATGCACTGGAGGTAACTGACTGATCTCCCAAACCCCAGGGCTATAAAGAGTAGATAAATCTGTCCCCACTACACATACAGTGTGTGGAAAGCTGTTGGGGTTTTCAGAGATACAGTTTTAAAAAGTAAAGAGCTTTGGTGATAAAAGTGTGGCTGCCTGTTCCTAGTATACAATACTTCATCTCCCACCTTGTCATTATACATACAGTAAGCACATCATACATGCCCAGCTGAGTTGAGTTGAGACTGGTAAAATTTTGTCCCAAAAGGCTGATGGTTTGTGAAATAGGGGTGGGAGACATTAAGCTATGAGGGGACTGCACATGAAAGAAACGGAGAGAAAAAGGCAAGGCCCACATTTTTGGTTTGTCTCCATCTTTGGGCCTCAGATGGTGGCAGGAAGGGAAGAACCCAAGGTTGACAAAGATGAGAGGTGAGGAAAGGGTAGGAGTGGGTTAAGTGTGATTGTACTGGGTAAGTTTACCAGGATATGACCTCTGGAAGAAGGAAGCCCATCTTTAACTCTACAAGGTTACTAAGCTAATGAAGGAAGAGTGAGACCTCTAGAATGAGGCCACTGGCACAGACAAAGGACCAGTCACCTTGCCCTCATCAGAGCTTTGCACATGAGAGGTGGTGGTGGTGGTGGTTTACAAAGGAATGTCAAAACCAGCTCAGTGGCTGCTTTTCACTTACGGTCAGGATGCCCCACCAAGGAGAAAAAGGAGAGAATGAATGAGTAAGGGTGAGGGTAGGGAGACAGATAAAGAGAGACTGAAAAACCCAGAGGGCGAAGCTTGGAGATACAGGTATAAATATGGGTGAATCTGGCTGGTCAGATGAAGCAAGCTTGGGTAAGACCAGGCTAGGTGGGCTAGAAAGACAGTAAGAGGTAGCCTGGGCCCTGTCTTCTTCTCTGTAAAGCAGAGACTGCAGGGGGGCGGGGGAGGATGGGGGAGGCGGCTCCCTCTCCTCCGCTCAGAGCTCGAGGCCTCTGTCACAGATGCTTACTGACATCAAACACCCTCAATAATTCAGAGAACACTGTACTAGGAAGGAGCTAAACACGGCTTGATTATTTGGTGAGTGAAAAACGGAATATTAGTCAGAGCTGAGACAGTTAGAGCGTGCTGGGAAAGGGGTGGGGGGGGAGGGAATGGGGAGGGGGAGATGAGACGTGCAGCTAAAATGCCTTTTGAAAATGTCACAGACTGTAAAATCACAACCACCCCCAAAATTAATGTATTTGATCATGCGTGTGCTTGTCATATGTGTCGGTACATGTGTGGTGGATCCAGGAATGCCTATCCACACAAGCATGTGAGATCAGTCTACATGTATGTCTATGTAAGCAGACGCTTCAGTTCAATTAAACAAAAGTTTATAAGGCACCTACTACGTGACAGGCACAACGTGGGCCTCTGGGGTTACCAAAACAAAGACTGATGTGTGCATACACACGGATGTGCCTGCTTGAATTTACATCTACATATATACATATGCATGTGATTACTATAGTTTCTGAAACAGGGTACTCGATAGGCTGAGTGTGTCACCATCAAGTTCATGTTTTTAGAAAAGGGGGGAGACCTGTCATGGGTGACCCTGCTGCTCCAGCTACATGCCTTGTGGCTGGAAGGGACCCCCTCTGAAGATTCCTGGCTTTTCACAAGGCTTAGCTCATTTAGAACCACTTGTTATGGGAGGCTCCTAGTGGCTGACTTACCCTGTCCTTCCCCTCCTTTGGTGCTTTGCCTCCTCCTCTCCCCACCACCTTGTATTTATACCGTATGGATTTTGTGTGTGTGTGTGTGTGTGTGTGTGTATAAAATGTAAGCTCCTTGAGGGGAGGGGTTGTTTAATTTATAGCTCTGTAGCCCTATGTCTACACAGAGTAGCAGTTTAGTAAATGCTTATTGATGGATTGATAGATTGTAAGCTTCCTGAAGGCAAGGACTACATCTGTGATGAAATGTAGTCCTAGCATCTAGCAGAGTACCAGGCACACAGAATGTGTTTAGTAAATGCTGGTCCATTGGCTGACTGATTGACTAACAGTGGAGAAAGTGACTATTTCATTTTTATCTTTCTATTTTTAGTGCCTAGTACAGTGTCAGGCACATAGTAGGAGCTCAGTAAATGTTTGTGCTGAATAATGGTTGCAGTAAGAATAGGAGACAAAAGATGGATGGCCTAAATACTACATTAAGACCTAACTCCCCTCCCTACCTGGACTTATGAGAAGAAACAGACAAAAGAATCCTACCAGGCAGGGTGAAGGTGGGAGCAGGGAAAAGCTGACCAGGAGGAGAAGGTGAGTGTGGGCTATGACCCACCCTGCCACAGGAGGCTCTCGCACTGGGGAAATCACAATTCCATTAAGTGTGGAAGAGTCTATGGTTAAAGTGATGGTGCCACA